CTTCTGTGTTCTCCTCCATTTTTGCTCAGGTTCATCGGGCTTTGCTCTTCTCCATTTTCGCTCAACTCTCACCTTCTCCACCAGAGTATAAAGTTTATGGTGAAGAAGAACCTGCCTTTCGTTATCAACTATCAATCAGTTTCTCAATCTAGGGTTTGCTTGCTGTTCAACATTTAATAAGTTTCTCAGGTAAAGTTGTCTTTAATCTTGATTTAAATAATCGACTATCATTTCACAATACAGGGAATTAATTGCAGGACTATGAATTGTCTTTGATGTTTAATTTGAGAGAAAATTGTTGATGATTTCATGAAATTTCGCTGTTAATTTATTGTTTGGAAAGGGGGAAGAACAAAAATCAAATTCTATTCTTTCGTTGCTTATGTGATGTATTTTTCTTGAAGGATCTTCTCAAATTTTAATTTTGACTTAATTTTTTATTTATTGGGTTCGCAAACCCTATGATGTTATCAATTTTGGGAAATTAGGGATAGGGGATGTTTAATTGTGTTAAATTTAGTTTGTTTTGATATATTTGGTCAATTAATGAGCAAGGGATTATTGAATATGATTCTGCTTGCATTATGCTCATCCTTTTTATCTTTGGTTAGTTATTTATATCTCGAAGCTTTTTATTTGTGGCATTGAATGAATGCCAAACTATAATTTGAGCTAGTCATAGATGTAAAGTGAAGCTAGTTGTCGGGCAGTTCTTTGTTTGATCAATTTTAGTCGAAATTTTCTGTTTTTGACATCTGTAGGATTTTGCTCTTAGGTGAAACCGTGAAATGAGGGACTATTGTTTCATTTATATGGTCACTTGTTAATATTGTAGTATAATTTAGCTTTCGTGTCGTTGTTTGTTGATAACACATAGCTTGATTTTGTTTGTATGGCATATCTTCTGCTAGTCTATACAGTTTGCATACTTTGTTTTGGTTGTTTTCTGCCACTAATTTATTTTGTCTCATGTAATTATTCTTAGTTATATCACCATTAGATTAAATACATATCTGCCCACCAATTTTCATTTTTGAGTGATAAAAATACTGCTCTATATCTCCCCTAACCTTCCCTTGACCATTTTGTTAGTCCATATGTATTAAATACTAATATCCATGTACATATGAAAACATTAGTTTTGGTATGCAATGTAATTGCTTTTACTTAAAAAAAAAGTTATTCAGCTAATGAAATAAGTGTTTAGTATAGGAAAGTTGGGTAAACTCATCATTCTATGAGTATTCATACTCCAACTAATGTTGTACGGTTCAAATTTATTTTGTCAAATTCCTTGTTCTTACCATCTTCTATGAATAAATTATTGGTAGTTTTGATATTCCTCAATAGTATATGCTACATGGCATGAAAGCAAGTCAAACTCCCCATATTCATGATTTCATGCTTGATGTTCAATGATAAATTTTCTCACTGTTATATTGGAGGATTGTTGCGAGTAGGTGTAGCAGTATATCACATACAAAATTTCATTCCAGATTGGATTATGATGATGGCTTACTTACTGTTAAAGTTTCAACTCCATATCTCTATATGCATGCTAAAAGATTGGACTATCTCTAAATAATGGGAATGATATAGTTTTTATAACTTCTTTATTCACAAGGTTTTTGCCCAGAAATGAGTGTAAATAACTAGATCTCTTTGTTTGTTACTCTGGTAATGGATATGTTATACTACCTTCTTTTGTGGCAACACCTATCAGAACTTTTCATGGGAACCTAAGAAATTTGTTGTATTCACAAGTCTCTTCCCCTAAATTTATTTACAAGGTCAAGACAGTATTCTGTAAAATTAGTGTGCTGGGATATATAAAAACGAAAATGATGTATTATAAATAAATTTGTATGTAAACTTAGTGTCTTAGTGTGATATTCCAAATGCTTTTCCTTATTTGCTTTGCCTCTAACCTTTCGCTCAGTTACCTCTTCTGCCGCTTTTCCACAACAAGCTTCTTGTGTATGGATAGCACAGGACCTTGCAGAGATAAGGCCCTTACGTATGAGCCACATACTAATATCTACTACTTGTAGAAATGGCCATCATATAGAAATTACTAGTGCCCTATCATCAATATGCTTCTTAATAATACTGAGAAATGCCAACCTAAAAGCTTTACAACCTTCAGTTTCTCTCGTTTTTCCAGTTCGAACTTCATGTTCTTCATCCCCTTTCTCGTTGTCACTGATATAAGAATTTATCATCTTTCTCAGCTTTCATGTCTTCAAAAATAGATGACTGCCATGTCTGCAATAAAACCTGCCATTTTCTACTTGTTAGTAGCAATTTGGCAGAGTAGATGACTGCATGAACCTTCATTTAGCTTCTTTTTTAATTGTTTATAGTTCTTGAAATTGAAAGTGGCTCTTTAGCCTGACTAAATGCAATCTTAGAAGAGTGTGATATTTACTACTTGGACTTGAAACAAAAACAGAACAGTAGATGAGTACAAATGCATCTGTTGTCTAGGCTTTCTCATTCTTCCTTCTGAGAGTCTGGTCTGAATAATTAAGAAGTAGAAATTCTCATAAATTGAGTAGAAATTGATATTTTGCAATGTACATGTCATATTTTGTAATGTACAAGATTGTACTTTGGACATTCTTTCTTAGTGTACTATATATATGCTCCTACTCATACTTATTTTATTATATGCAAATATAATATATGTTTCTCCTAAAATTGCAGTGAATTAAATCTTGGACTTATGACATAATCTCAAAACAAAGAAAGCTCCTGCTGGCTGAAATTGAAGACATTTGTGCTGTGCAGTGTGCTAGTTGAAGAACGCAAGGTGGTTTAGATGCTCCAAGGTTTACCGCTATTGTTGTAGTTGGCCTAGGCATTGCTGTTGTGGCCGGACACTGCTTTTGCTTGGCTGATTGTTGCTGCTTCAATTGTAGTGTACTCTAATCATCTAATTGTATTTTTTTTTTAATTTTTTCGGATAAAAAGTGTAAATTTACAAGCTATTAATGGGAATATCTATGTTTTATAAGTATATTTGTAATATAACTATTGATCAATTTTGGGTTAAAAATGCAAAAAATGGGAAAAAAAAAAATTACAAGTGTTAGTAGCCACATTAATATTTAAAGCAACATATTGCATTAGCCACGATAGTATTTGTGGCAAACAAGCTTATTTGCCGCGGTAGAATATATGGCATATAATTTGTTAGCCACATTAATATTTTTGGCAAGTCAATTTGTTTGCCACGTGAATACTCGTGGCATAAAATATAAAATTTGCCATGACATCCATTTTCCCGTGGCAAATTCCTAGCCACGGCCTCTTGTGCCACGGGAGTAAATTTCTAAATTCCCGTGGCTAAATTACATAGCCACGGGAATTCTAAACTTGTGTCACGATTCTACTCGTGGCACAAAGGTTTATTTGTTGTAGTGATAAATGATTTCATAAATTGGATTAGCATGTAAGATTGATTGGATAGCGCAGTTTCATGGGCTATAGGAGCGTAGTGAAGCTCGGTCAATCACATGGGTATGCATGAATGATGCATGATCGAACTATAGACCTACTTTGAAGTTCAAGTATAGAACTTCCGGATATATTAGTGGATTCCTTTGACATGAGTGGAACATTGATTTCATTCAATGATTGATGTAACTGTGTACATTCAAACGTCTTCCCCTAACTGGAGATTATAAAGGGTGTTTCCTGGTTACCTCATGATTTGAGTGGGAGCCTTGGTTGCCACAAGATTAGATAGAGTCTACCTATTTAATTAGGAATGTGTCTTGGCCCCTTGAAGAGGGAGAATTCAGAAAATGTATGGCCGTGCTCAAATGGATTACATAGTAACCATTTGTTTTGTAATCCTCACTCGGTTTTCAAGAAAAGATTTGTAGACTAATATGATCACGACATGAGATGCAATCATATTATCAAATCGACACACATTGACTTAAGGAATTTGAATATTGCGCACTTGTCTCAGACAAGTGGGAGATTGAAGGAATTGTGTCTTCGATAAGTGCAATTACTATATATATCAAGGATCACTATTATGGAGATAATAAGTTCGTTCTTTTGGGTCGTCATTATCTGTTGCTAGACTATGATCAATGATCTTTAGGCTAGTCAAATAGTCCAAAGCCTACTAGAATGGATCCTATGAGGTCACACTGCACAACAAGGGTATTGGGTTAAGCAAGTAAGAGGCCCATTAATGGGCCTCATGAGCAACTAACTAATCATGAAATGGATTTGGCTAGCATAGTTAGATGAGAATTAGGTTTTGGGCTTTTGACATGGGCTCTTATTTAGAGATGAGATCTATAAATAAGATCCATGCCTAGGGTTGCTTGCAAGCAGACATAATTCACACACAGTGTATTTTGACATCAAGGCAACCAATCCCAAAGACCCTAATTCCTCTCTCTAACTCACGACTTTCTTTCTCCTCCCCTCGTCTGTACGGCCGGCCACCTTGGTGGCGCGTGTGGTGGTTCGTGGTGGTTCATGGTGGTTCGTTGCTCGCACTTCTCTGTAGAAGGTCAATTGAAGGGTTCAATTGCAACTAACTAGCATTAGTGGAGGTCTTAATCTGTGCCCGTGGACCAAGTAGAGGAATCACGCTTGAGGTTCTTTATCTCCCAATGTTCTTGCTCGATCGCACGTGGAATCACGCTTCAAAGGTACGATTATATGTGCTTTATGTGTTATGCATTAGATCTTGGGATTAGGTACTGTATGAATATGATTCATGTTTTTTCCGCTGCGTAGTACCTATAATTCCCTACAGGTCACTGTTCACGCTTTTCTTGCTATTGTAGCTTCTAAAAATTGAGAGCTGCATCAAATGGACGTTCACAATGCCTTCCTCCATGGTGATCTTTAAAAAGAAGTATACATGAAACTTCCCCCAGGTTTCGAATCTTCTCACCCGAATAAGGTATGTCGCCTTCGGAAATCCTTATGGTTTAAAACAGGCTCCTCGTTGTTGGTTTGCCAAACTAATGTCGTCTTTGAAGGCGTATGGTTTCCAACAATCGTACTCTGATTATTCTTTGTTCACCAATACAAAGGGTACCGTGCAAATTAATGTGCTTGTGTATGTGGATGATCTCATTATTTCTAGAAATAATTCCGCTGCGTTAAGGGCTTTCAAAGCATATCTTAGTGATTATTTTCATATGAAAGATCTTGGTACTCTGAAATATCTTCTGGGTATTGAGGTGGCTCGTAGCTCTTCGGGCTTGTTCTTATGTCAGAGAAAATATACTCTTGACATCATTTCAGAAGCAAGATTATTGGGATCAAAGCCAGCTAGCTTTCCTATGGAGCATAATCACAAGCTTAGCCTAGCTAGTGGTCCACTTCTTTCTGATTCGGAACCGTATCGTAGACTTGTTGGTAGGTTGATATACCTGGCCGTCACTAGGCCTGATTTAGCCTATTCGGTTTATATTTTATCTCAGTTCATGCATGCACCAAGAACTGAACATTGGGAGGCAGCTTTACGAGTTGTCAGATATTTGAAAGGAACTCTAGGTCAAGGTATTTTACTACGATCAAACAATGAATTAACCTTTCAGGGTTGGTGCGATTCGGATTGGGCCGCGTGTCCCTTGACACGTCGATCTTTGAAATGGTGGCTAGTATTCCTTGGTAAGTCACCTATTTCTTGGAAAACCAAAAAGCAGAAGACTGTCTCTACAAGTTCTTCAGAAGCGGAGTATCGTTATATGTCCGCTATTACATGTGAGTTGAAGTGGTTGAAACAACTTATTTTGAGCTTGGGAGTGCAACATCTATCCTAAAGCTATCAAGCTATTTTTTATAATCAATCTGCTTTGCACATTGCAATTAAAGAATCCGATTTTCCATGAAAGGACGAAGCATATTGAAGTCGATTGTCAGTTTGTCCGAGATGCTATATTTCAGATGGTTTGATTGATTCATCCTATGTTCCTACCCATGAGCAATTGGTCGATATCTTTACTAAACCTCTCAGCAAATCTCAATTTGATCTATTGCTTGGCAAGTTGGGCATCTTCACTCCACCTTCTCCAACTGGGGGGGGGGGGGGTTAGGAATATTCGGAAATATTAGCATATCTTTGTGATTATTATCATATATATTTGTTTTCTAGTTTATAGGCTCAAGTTTATCTTGAATATCTTTTGATATGTTTAGGGAACAATGTACTCTATATATTGAAATCAATTGAATGAATCAGGGCAAGCTTGAAGCCTTACTTTGACATGTGTACTATTGAAAATTCTTTTTTCGAAAGGATTAAAAAAAAATGAATTTTCTATTTTTTGGTGCCTTAGTTGAGGTATATTGAAATTATAATGGAGATGAGAGATTGGAAAGAAACCATTCATGTAATCAATCCACTTCATAAAGCGATTACGATTGACCTTAAATAGAGATAGTAAATCAATTTAATGAAGCGATGACTATCTCTTCAAAATATCCAATAAGGCAATAAGCATAGACGGATCCAGGGGGATGTTTAACCCGGGCCTCCCCCCCCCCCCCCCCCCCCCCGAAATGGATCAACTTATGTATAAATAAATATTAAATACTACTCTATTAAGTAACAAAAATATAAGATAGCTTAGTTGGTTATGCATGCTTAGTATGTTGTTGAGGTTATGGGTTTAAATCCCTCATTCCTCATTTTTTTTTTCAATTAATCATTTTTATAAAACTAATATGACCCCATTTCCTATTGATTAGTTTTTTTAAAGAAACTAATTTGGCCTGCCCTATAATAATCTTCTATATTCGTCCTTGGCAATAAGGATGATCTAGGCTGGCTCACCCCTTAGCTTGAATTCTTCTCAATTAAAAAAAGCCATGTTTTACATACTTTCTTCGTTTTTTAGTTGTATCATTTTTGGAATTGTGGACTCCTAAGTGATTGTACATGTATAGTACGTACTTTGATTATTTTCACAAATTCCGGTGTTATTTATTTTAAGTAATACCGAGTAATAGTTAGGATGAAAAATCCACACCAATTATAGGGTTTCATTACCTAAACGCACTAAATTTCAGATGCCATATACAGAATACTTTTAATCATATTATTTACATTACTTCAATCATCTGCTATTTAAGATTTTTCACCTAATTCAATCGTCTGTTTTAGTTTATTATTTTCAATCTTAGTCTTTATTAGAATTAGGTTAAGATAGGTGAATGTTGTTTGAAAAAAGGTTAGTCAGCAAAATTGAAAGAAAAAAGGTAAATAAAAACAAACTAAAAAGCAGTAGATTTAATCAAAAAAGTCATGCTGATTTGATTGTCTTACAGTCGAAGCAAGAAATATTGAGACCTCTAAGGCTCTGACGCATATGCATGGTACTCCTATTTTTGTTTTCTTTTCTTTGATTTTTTAGCGGGGAAAGTACAACCTTGTCTTTGTTTACCTAAAATTTTAAGAAGAAAGATGAAAATGATATAAACTAAAAACTAAAGGAGACTTCGAACCACATGGGCTTACAAGTACAACGAAAGTTTCATCTCCATTTGACAATTTGAAATTTAGACGGTTTTTAATTACTCTTTCCATTCTTTTATTATATACCTATTTTTCATTTTGCACGAGAATTAAGAAAGTTAAATTTCCTTAAAATTTAATAATTGGGAGTATAAATATGCATGTAAAGTTAAATAGAGATAGAGAGAAAGAGAAAGTAGTTGAGAATTAGGAGAGAGAAGGTATTGGGAATTGATGTTAAAATACAAAAAAAGAAAAATAAAATAAAAAAGATAACAAATCATCAAAAAGAGAATAATATTGTAAAAAAGTGCGTCCTATAAATAGAAACATACACTTTATTTTGATGACCAAAAAAAAAAAATACAGACATATAATAAAAGGATAGAGGGAGTATGGACTTTTCACTTTTGGTGTATCTAGGAGTCAGGCGCTTGGAATCAAGGGGGAAGGGTAATTGGATAAGTGATCTATATTGGTTCATGCTCAACGAATTCAACTTTCATTTTATTTAATTACTTAGTTTTGTTTGAATGAATTTAACTTCCATTTAGTTTCAATAACAATGCGAAACTGATTCTACATAATATAGTTATATAATCCAACTAATCTAAATTATATAATTCATTTTATTATTGTTATATGTTTATTAAATTTTTGTGTTAATGTGACATAGGTAGTTTTAATTTGCAAATTATCAAATTACAAAGTTTCCTTATAAAAATTAATGCAAAAATTAATGTTTGTGACTTTATGATGATGAAAAGTTTGATTATGAAAATTACATTTTGAAGTTTAAATTTGAGTATTGCTTTGGCTTTAAGACTATAACCAATTTTCCTTGCTTACTTTTCTTAATCATTATTTATTTAAATTTGAATGTTGCTTTGACTTAGGAGGGAAAAATCCCGTTTAAATACCTATCAATGTCACGGGTCAACTCAATCGTATCAACTCAATTGTACCGTCAAGTACGATTTTTGCCGTTCAATACACATCACTACCACTTCCAACCATATATACCAAATTCATTACTTTTTATACCAACGAACGATAAATTTTATCTAAATTCATTTCATACCAAAAAAGTTGTTATGGAGACTATCATTGAATTTTCCGTTATTGTTGGTTTACTTGTTATGTTGCTGGTATTTTATAAAAGACTGACGAAATAGTACTAGACTTCACAATTTTCGAGGCATTTGTACTATAAAAGTGGGTGACAATGTGACATTGTACTGTAAAAATGGGTGGCAAAAAGCAAAATTTTCTTATTTCTTATTTTTTCTTTTGGAGTCACCTGAATTTATTATTTTTACAATTCCATTTTCCTTTTTTTTATATATATATTTTTATTTATAGATTGATCCTTCTGCTAGAGACATTCTCGTCTCTAGTTGCTAGAGGCTGAAAACCCCACATAACCTCATATATTGAAATTCAGAATATTTGACCTTGTCACCTCAAGGTTACAAATATTAAGAATCCCAACTAGGGGTGTCAATTCGGTTAAACAGTTCGGGTTTGGGTTGGGTTAATCAATTTCGGGTTATAACGGGTCGGTTTATAACGGGTTGAAATAATAAGCGGGTCGGTTTCGGTCGGTTTTGAAAATTATCGGGTCAGTTCGGTTTGGTTTTTTTAATTGCAGTTTCCATTCGGATCAGGTCCTTATCGGGTCGGGTTCTAGTCGGTTCGGGTCATAATCAATTTGGGTTGAACCGGGTTGGTTTGAAAACGGGTTTAGCCAGTTTAATGTGGGTTTCGGTTAAAAACAGTTCGGGTCTTAATCAGGACGGGTCGTAATTGGTTCGGGTCATAATCAGTTTGGGTTTAACTGGGTCAGTTCGAAAATGGGTTTCGGTTCAAAACAGATTGGGTGAAATCGGGTCCAATCATTATCGTTTCAGGTTATAATCGGTTTAGATTGAACTTGATTGGTTTGAAAACGAGTTTACCCAATTTGAAGCGGGTTTCTAATCAAATTATATCGTGTTAAAATTGAGTCGGATGATTATCGAGTCGAATTAGTCAGATAATGGGTAGGAACGAGTCATGTTATAATCAAGTCAACTTATAAATAAGTTGGGTTTATCGAGTAGTGGGTTGAAATAGATTAGATCATAAACATATTGGGTAACAGATTGTAAATGACTCAGTCATAACGGGTTACGGGTTTTAAACGGTTTGGTCACAACGGGTTACGGGTCGTAAACCGTTCGGTCACAACGGGTTATAGATTATAACCGGTTTGGTCACAACGGGTTACGGGTTGGAACGATTTAGGTTTATCGGATTTTTATCGGGTTTTAACAGTTTTCGGTTTAAAATGGGTCGGGTTACTATCGGGTTTAAACGTAATCGGTTTGGGTTACTTTCAGTTTCGGGTTGTAACAGTTTGGCTTGATAACGGGTTGGGTTAGTAACGTTTTGCACAAATTCGGTTCAGTTCAGTTTCGGGTTGGAAAAAATTGGGTCTAGTCAGTTTTCGGTTTCCAAAAAACGGGTTTTAAACAGTTTAATTTCTTTTCGGATCGGTTTAAAACAGTCGGGTCTAATAGTTCGGGTCAGAAACTGACAGCTCTAATCCCAACCAACTACACCAAATAAGTTTTGTCAAACCTAATTGCCATTGCATGCGGAAAAATAAAAAACAATACTACGTATAAGAATATTTGTTTTACGCTGAGATATTGTTAGAGCTATGCATGCGTTAGTCTCAAAACAGGTTACAGGCAATGTCGTGTTAACTACTTTGTTTGGGCCATAGGCCTCTAACAGTTTGTTACATAGTACACAACAACATTTTTACTAGAGAAAAACTAGAATGCTCTACCAATTGGTTGTTGAGCACTTGGTAGGGAGGATCCGTATTCGATTCCCCGCAACAACAATTGGGAGGGATTGAAACCTAACTCCACAAAACTAATCCCCGAATTCAAATTACCCTGAAGAGTGAAGCGGGCGGAACACAAAAAAAAAAGCTAGAATTTTCCCTTGCATACATGATAGGAAGTTAGTGAGGTCGATAGACTACCTGAGATGGAAGTTTAAGGGGGGGAAAAAAAATCTGTGTTCTTGTGATCTACAAGAATGGATTTATGTATATCTATAATTTTGATAGGAACGAACCTGGAGGAAAAAAAAAAGCTGCTTTTGTTCGTGCAACTTTTTGGGTTGCAATTGCTACTTTTAAGCCCAATAATAAGATGTAGGCCACTACAGCGCTACTGCATATGGGCTAATTATAGTGTATAATATGGCTTAATCAATTAACTTCATAAGGCTTTTTGGAAATTATTCTCA